ATTTATACATACAAGAACTGGGTCTCAGGCCAGAAGTGAGGGAAGTGGTGAGAGAATTCACCAGAGATAGAATGGGGAGCAGAACAGGCAGATCTACTGAAATACACCACTAAGAGGAACAGCAGGTGAGACAGGCAAGGTCTGCTGTGTCATGTGGGTTATCTCCCTGGCTGGGGATTGAAATCAGGCCATAGTTGCTGGCTATAGCTTGATAGTGATGAGACTTTAACCCCTGCACCACCACAGAGGCCCCTGACATGAACTTTTATTGTCATGACATGCCCCTCTTTATCTCCATGCTTCTTGCCTCAGTCTGGACTTTGATATCAGCATCGCACCACCTTTCCTGTTTGGTTCTTGTTTTAAATATTCCATCCTTTTCCACCTTTTTTTTTAAAGCTTTATTTATTTATACATACAAGAACTGGGGCATAGGCCAGAGGTGCAGGCCAGAAGTGCAGGGAATGAGAGGATTCACCAGACACAGAGTTGGGAACAGAACAGGTGGATTGACTGAAATACATTGCTGAGGGGAGCAGCTGGTGAAAAAGGAGAGGTCTGCTGCACTATGTGGGTAGCTTCCTGTCTGGGGATCGAATTCATGCTTCAGTGGCTGCAGATAACTTCATAGTGCTTCAGCCAGAGCAATTTTTAAATTGCTTAACCCCTTGCACCACCAGGGAGGCCCCCTTTTTCACCCTTTTATCTTTTTATATCCTCATGTCATACCTGCTGGTCTTGTGAGCATAGAATTGGCTTTTGCTTTTTGATCCAGACTGCCCATCTTTTTATTTTAACTGGGAAATTTGGTCTTTTTACATTTAATATAATTATAAACCTATTTGGATTTATATCTGACTTCTCAAGTGTTTTTCTTTGCCCCACTAACTCTAGGTTCCTTTTCTCCCTTTTTTCTTACCTCCTTTGGAATTGGATACATGTGTTTTGGTAAGATTCTTAGAATCTTCACCTTATAGATGATAGGAAACTGAGAAACAATTTCAAGGGCCAGGTCTCTTCCAATTGAGGTTTTCTTCCAGACAGGAGCCAATATTGCACAACAGTGATGCACATAAGTTTCTAATTGTAGCTGTGATGAGTGCTACATGAAAACAAAACTGAAAAAAATGGGAGAGAAAGGATTTCGGTCCTGAGACTCCCTCTCCCCCCAAGTTTCCCATCATAGAGCATTCCCATCAATTCCCACCCTGTCTCTGAAACATAGAAAGGAGGGGAATATTTTATTATCTCCTCTCACTACTGTACACAAAATATCTGGGGCTGGCAGATTCCTTTTGGCCTCAATATGCATTCCCCCATCCCTTCCAGGAGCCTTGTGTTTCCTGGCCAATGCAGAGCCTTTGGTTTCTCCAGCCTGGGACCCTTCTGCTACAGTTTGTAGATAACCATGGTCCCACTTTTCCCAGAAGCCCCCACCCCAGCTCCTCCCTGGAGGCTGTCTGGTTCACTGAGCTCTCCAATACTTACAAAGATCATATCTACCCTCTTGTGCTTGTCTACCATCCTGTCCTGCCCCTGAGACTCCCTCACCTCAGAATGATTTTCAGCACCTAGAAGACTCCTAATCCAACCTTAAAACTCTATCTAGATGAAGCCACCTCATTGCAATCTTCTTTGCTCCCCAAATGAGTCATCCACTATTCTTCAGTTTCCTCTAACCTTAGTCCCTCCCCACTCTAGCCCTGCATCATTCCCCTTGGCACTGGGAGTATCTGTGTCAGACTCTCTCCCTTCCTCTGCCAAGGCTGAGGACTCTCTAGATCCCCAGAATAATGACCATGCTGGAGGGTTTACTGAGTAATTTTTAAAACTATTAGTTGAATTAAAAATGTAAAAATCCAGGTTCCCACTAAATTGTCAGTGAATGAAGGCAAAAGTATGGGAGTAGTAATTTTACCTACAGTTTACTGAGGGCTTACAGCATGTCTTTGCTTGTAAGGATTTCACCCGCCTGATAGCATATAGTTAAGTCACTTGCCCAATGCCATCCAGCTAGGATGTGACAGAACTGGAATTAGAACTCAAATATATCCAATTCTAAGGCTCTCAAACAGTCTTTCTTGAGCCAGAGGACATGTGTGTGTTTCCCAAACTCTCGCCAACAGAGTCTGAAGAGGCAGACTCTGTGATACCTGACTCACGGTTATATATAAAATATAGCATGTACACATCATGAGATTCCATAACTAATTAAATTTGCTAACATTTATTGAGCAATTCCTATTTTCCCTGTTTCACTTGTGTTATCTCACTTAAAAGTGCATTGTTTAAAAAGATTTATTTTATTTATATAAGAGCTGGGGTACAGCCAGGATGCACGGGAGGGTGAGAGGATTCACCAGAGACAGAGTGGGGAAGAGAACAGGCAGACTGACGAAATACACTGTTGAGGGGAGCAGCGGGTGAGACAGGAGAGGTCTGCTTCAACATGTGGGATTCTCGCTAGCCAGCTGGGATTGAACCCGCACTGCAGAGGCTGCGGACAGCTTCACAGTGCGGTGCTCAACTGCCACACCACCAGGGAGGCCCTAAATAAATCTTTAAAAAAAAAAAAGAAAGAAACCACAAAGATATGATCACCAAGATATGAATCTCTTAAGGGGGTGGACCCCAAGTTCCCAAGGAACATGTGTTTTAACAAGAAACACAAGAAGAAGGACCTGAAGAAGATGCAGGCCAACAATGCTAAGGCCATGAGTGCATGTGTTGAGGACATCAGAAGCCCTTGTAAAGCCCAAGAACACATAGGCTAACACCCCAAAGGGCTCAGCTGCAAGTCAATCAACTTGCCTACATCATTCACCTGAAGCTTGGGAAATGTGTACACTGCCAGGGGTCTCAGGCTCTCCTGGCCAAAAATGATGGCTCAAACTCAGGCCAAGGATGTGGCTACAGCACAGGTTTCCAAAGGTGTGCAGGCTGCCAAAGGTACCCAAGTCACCAATGGTGGTCAGGCCTCCACAAAAGCTGTAGAATAGAGAACCCCATGTGCCCACGAGAAGGAAGAAGGACTGGTGTAACCCCTGGTCTGCTGTTTGCAGGGCACTGGTATTTACCTGTGCTTTTGTAGAAATAAACCTGAAGCAGAATCTGTCAAAAAAAATGCATTATCTTATTAGTATTAACTTATGTTTTTCAGTATATATTAAGGGGACAACTATAGAAGTAAATATGGATGTGCATATTTATTTATGGGTTAGTAGATATATATGTAGTTCCTAACTCTGACTGCTGAGAGAATCTAGAGTAGTGACACCCCAGTAGCAGTGAGCACACCCAGCACCAACATCTTGGTTTCTAAATACCATTCCTTGGAAAAGTAGCTGCTTTTTACATTGGAATATCTTGTGGTTTTGAAAGTAAGGAGATGTGGTCATGTGCCACTTAACAACAGGGATACATTTTGAGAAATGGATCATTCTACGATTTCCCATTGTGTGAATGTCATAGAGTATAATTATACAAACCTAGATGGTATAGCCTACTCAGATGGGCCATCTTTAGGGACCACCATCACATAAGCAGTTCAGATGTAGTTATGCATGACAGCACTGAAAGGAAGATGGAGATAGTAAAAGGCACAGCAGCTAACTAAAGAGGCAGCAGAAAAATACGTAAAGAAATTAATTATAGGGCCTCCATGGTGGCACAAGGGGCTAAGCACAGCACTGTGAAGCTATATGCAGCCTCTGCAGCATGAGTTTGATCCCCAGCCAGCCAGGGAGCTACCCACATGGCACAGCAGTCCTCTCCTGTCTCACCTGCTGCTCCCCTCAGCAGTGTATTTCAGTCAGTCTGCCTGTTCTGTTCCCTAGTCTATCTCTAGTGAATCCTCTCGCCCTCCCCCCCCCACCCCCGCACCTCTGGCCTGTACCCCAGTACTTGTATGCATAAAAAATCTTAAAAAAAAAAGAGGGCCTCCTTGGTGGCTCAGGGGTTAAAGACAGAGCTATCAAGCTACCATCAGGCACTGCAGCATGCGTTTGATCCCCAGGCCCAGCCAGGGAGCAACCCACATGGCACAGCAGACCTCTCCTGTCTCACCCGCTGCTCCCCTCAGCAGTTTATTTCAGTAGATCTGCCTGTTCTGCTCCCCACTCTGTCTCTGGTGAATCCTCTCTCCCCTCAACTCCACATCTTTGGTCTACACCCCAGTTCTTGTATGCATAAATAAATATTTTTAAAAAAAAGAAAAAAGAAAAAAAGAAATTAATTATAACCCAGAGTAAAATAGTTGAGTTTATGATGACATAAATACTTGAATACATACATAATTGGAGAATGGTGGGTTTCTATTCGCCAGATGTATCTATTAATAGAAACAAAATCACCATTATGCAAACACTCTAGTAATAAATGTGACCAATGAGAACCATAGATGCTAAATCTAGTGGATGAAAATATCATTAAAAAACAAAACATGTGGTGAGTAAGGTGTGATGACATACATCTGAGGAAGTGTGAATCACTTCCCCTAAATCATATACAATATTGTAAACGAATGTCAAAACAAGCAAAACCAAAAAGCTGTATCACCCCATTAAATACTCGTTAATTGCAAAGGGGAAAAGTGACTTGGCAATTGGCAGCCACTGCCTTAAGTAAGAAAGTTCAACATCACCAATAATGAGATATTAAAAAAATGTCCCGTGTCTCCTGATGATGCACTAAGATGAACAGATCAACATTTTTGTGGGATTCTTGCTCCAACAGGGCAACTTCAGCTTTCTCATCCATAAAATGGGACGCCTTTCAGCCTCCCCCACCCGCTTCCGGGCTTCAAGAAGTTCCGCTTTGGTAAGTAAGCAGGCGCAAGAAAGACTGCTCGATTGGCTCCCCGTGGTGATGCACAAGCTGACAAGAGGCGCGCTGAGTCCCGCCCCTTCCTGCCGCGCCTCCACGCACACAGTTGGCCCCCGGCACGTCGCTGCCACGCGCGCTTGCATGCATGGTGCGTGGTGACGTCCCGGCGGCGCGGACGCCATCCCGGAAGCGCGAGCAAGGCCGCCAGATGTGCAGGTGCCGCCGCCGCCGCCGCCGGGACCGACGGATGGGTGGGGTCAGGGGCGACGGGGGCCGGGACTTCGGGTTGGGGCGCGCCGCTGGACACGTCTGGGCACCCCTCCTGCGCACCGGCCTCAGTTTCCCGGTCTGCGCAGTGGACGCTCGGGCAGAGCACGGGCGGGATCCGCATCCAGATTCGGATCCGGGGACCGGGAGTTGGGGCCGCTTGTGTTGAGGCCGTGCCATGGAGTCTGGAACTGGGCGTTGCCCTGCGTGGTCCTTAGTCTCCCAGCTTTGCAGGGGCGGGGCATGAGGGGATCGCGAGCCTCGACCCAGTCTGGGGTTCTGCCTAACTTGGGCGAAATCAAGTTCAGTGAAATTCCCGTGTGGAGTCGCCGCGGCTCTCCGTGTGACCTTGGGCAACCCAGCCCACCACCCCTGTGAGCCGTGGTTGCCCCTTTAGGGTGATTGGGGATTAAAGGAAGTGCTAACTTGTGTTTGCTCAAATCCTTGGAAGCACCTAGGAGGCCCTCGTTAAATGCTGATTCCTGGGCCCTGTCCTAGGAATTCTTCACACTCCCTTTGGAGAAACAGCCAGCGTGCTCCAAGGCCATTCCCTTATCACTGTTGGTTTCAGCCGATTATTTTCCATATTCTGCATGAGAAAACTGACGCAGAGAGGTGATGTGACACTCCCAAGGTTACACAACTTGCCTCTCTGCGTGTTTCCCCCTTTAATATATTTAGAGCCTTGCTGGGTCATTTCCACTCTGCACTTGGACCTGACTAGCTGTTACCCAGGGGAGGCGTCCTGAGAGAGGCAGAGAGCACGCTTGCAGTGGCTTTAAGTCTGTCCCTCACATCTGGGATCCAGAGACAGGAAAGAACCCCACTTTGAAGTCTAACTTTCTCAAAGGTTCAAATCCTGGGCCCACCAGGCTCTCTCTGGGTTCCCAACACGTGACTGCCCTGTCAGCCAAGTGTTCTCTATAGTTGCTCATGCTTTGGAAATGTGGAGACTGTGGGTGCCCCTTACCTTGCACGCGACAGGAACCCAATAAACAGTGTTTATTGGTGGTGGTGCTGGTGGGGGCTTCACGAGGTGTGGCAACTTTTTTCTAGAAGGCACGACAGGGCTAAAACCACTCAGCCTCTTCGGTGTTTTCTGGGACAAAGTATTTGTCACGTTTGTAAATAAGGCGATTTCATGGAAGAAAAATCTGTATTTCCAGGCTTTTTTCCCCCTGGAAAAAATCAGAGGTCTGGCAGAAATCAGTTGCTCTAAGCAGCAGCTGTCCTGTCATTTTTAGTTACTGAACGCCTGTTTAGTTCACGCCTTTGTGGAGCCTGGGGAACATAGGCATTTGTGACTCAGGTACACGAGTTGTGTTACAATGGTCAGTTACTGAACCTCCATTTATTTCATATATAAATAAGGAAACAGTTCCCAGTGTGTGAAGTTGGTGCCTTCTTTAGCATAGAGTAGGTGTTCCCTAAGGAGGGGGGATTCAGTGGACTCTGAAAGCCCTTCCTGATTCTATCTTACCACAAGTGCATCTTTGCTTGACCAATAAAAGTATGGCCTCTAGAACCAAGGTACTTTATGATTCTGAGTTTTTCCTGAATGTCTCCAGGAGGGTCAGTGCTAATGCTGTGGCCCCCCCACTCCTGTCATGGTCCAGGAAGCCCTCACCCCCCTGCCCCACCTGCCTTCATGGTCATCTGTGTGCCAGGGAAGCTGGAAGCTGCAGTGCCATCTGAGTTGTGGTTGGCCAAGAGTGCCTGGAATTCTTGGCTTTAATTTGCTAATAAAAGTTTAGTGTCAGTGTTGAACTTGAAAGATTCTGTGCTTCTGCCAAACTAAGTTCTGGACATCCCTTGCTGTGAGCCAGGTTCTAGGCTAGCTTTCTGGAGCATGAGGAAGACATATGCCTCTGTTCCCTTGAAGCTGCAATAGGCAGGCAATCCACTGATACAAGAAGAGATGAATCCATGAAGCAGTTGAAATAAGGTGAAATGATAAGGGTGACTGGAATAGGAGTAACTACCTAAAACAGAGAGAGAGAGAGCGAGAGAGAGCGTGCGCGCACACAGGCTCTGGTGATGATTCAACGGGGCAGCCATGCATGCTCCACCAGTGGGCACAGCAGATGCAAAGGCCTTGTGGTGGGAATGGGCCAAGGCAGGGGGTGTGGGAGGAGGCTGGCAGATCTGTGCTGGTGGGAGATGCACATGGAGAGTGGAGGCCATAGAAGTGAGTGGTGATGGGAATCTGAGGTGCAGTGTGAAAATAGGACCTGCAATTCACTCAACACTCTGAATTCCTTAGATGACAAAGCCAGGTCTCAAGGGGTGTGACTGAGTTAGGTCAAGTGACCCATGGGATTCCCACCCCGCCTCTCTGCCCCTCTTCCCCCAGTTCCTGGTGCAAACCAAAAACTCTTCCAGCCTGTTTCAGACAGCGTAGGAGGAGGAAGAGATGGACCCCCCGGACTCGGCCTCGAGGGTCTTTTGCAGCCGCATCCTAAGCATGGTGAATGTGGACGATGTCAATGCCATCATCCTGGCCCAGAAGAATATGTGAGTGGTGAGCAGGTGTGGGAAGGAATTCACTCATTGGCCAACATTGTTCTTCCCCTGCCCACTCCTACCCTAGGCCCACCCTGGTGATAAAATGAAGGCAGCAAATCAGGCGGCTGTCTCCAGAGTGAATTCCTGCCTGGTTCAGAGGCAAAGCCTTGGCACAGGAAGCAGGGCTCCAGGATGGTTTTGCAGGTGTGGCTGGGTGGCAGCCATAGCTGTTCCTATCCCAAGGCCTGGGTGAGAAAAGTTGGGTGACTGAGAAGGGCAGATAGGGATTTAAAGGAGCTGGTCTCTCAGAGTTTAGGCTATCTCTGCAAAATGTCCATGGACTCTTGCAGGGGCTATAAATACCCTTTGCCCTCCTTGGGGCTTAGCACTGTGACCACTGTAGCTTCACCCTCATTCTGGCCTGTCTTACAGGAACAAGGGTCAACACAATCTTGGGGTAGAAGCATTTATCTTTTTTTTTTTTAGAGGCATGCTTTTATTTATTTATTTTATTTGTTTGTTTGTTTTTGTTTATACATGCACTGGGTACAGTCAGAAGCGCGGGAGGGTGAGAGAATTCACCAGAGCCAGAGTGGGAAGCAGAGCAGGCAGAAGGACTGAAGTACACTGCTGAGGGGAGCAGCGGGCGGCAGGAGAGGTCTGCGCGCCATTTGGGACCCTCCTCCGGTGGCTGGGGAGCGAGCCAGGGATCGAACCGGCGCTGCAGAGGCTGCGCGCAGCTTCGTAACCCAGCGCTCAACCGCTGCGCCACCAGGGAGGCCCAGAAGCATTTATCTTTAATGCAAAGGCTGATCCTTCCAGATCTGATGGAAGGATCACATGCCTTACAAGTGCCTTACACTGTGACAGGCATGGTGGGTATGTGTAGATCTCAGCAATATCTATCTTTCTCTTCAATCTCTAGGTCTGATTCTGACCTGGCCCCTGGGAACTTCCACACTAAGGGGAGACAGATCTCCCTGGCTAGTAGAGTAAGAATCTGCTTGAGCGGGGTGGGGGTTGGGGGCAGGTGAAGGCTACACAAGGACCCTTTAAGAGTAGGGTTTTGAAGGTTGAATAGTTTTCTGGGTGGCTCAAACGGCAGATAGGGCACTGCAGTACAAGAGAACTACACACAAAGGCTGTGGAGGAGGAAAAGGGCTAGCATGAACAGTTGGCAGACCTTGGGAGCCAAGCAAAGGAACCTGTGCTCTCTTTGCTCCTAGGCTAGATCGCTTTGAGAAGACCAATGAGATGCTGCTGAACTTCAACAACCTGTCAAGTGCTCGCCTGCAGCAGATGAGTGAGCGTTTCCTGCACCATACAAGAACCCTAGTGGAGATGAAGAGGGACCTGGACAGCATCTTCCGCAGGATCAGGTGGGTGTGCAGTCCCTCAGTCTCTGCCCCCTGACCTGGGCCTCAGATTCTTGCCTCCTGATAGCTCCCACTCCCACCATGTGCCACACAGCAGGGTGTGGTGAGGCTTCATCCTGTGCTTAGCATCTGAAAAGCTCTGCACTTTGGGATGAAAATCTTAAAGTTTCTTAATTTAAATTTTATTTCTTTCTAAAATTACAACGTAGTAATAATGGGAAAGGCAGGCAAGAGTAGACACAAAAAAGATAGCTTCCTGAGTCCATGTCTCCCAACCTCAGGTCTTTCAAGTGGCAGATGAACTTGCTGGGTTTTGCAAGTCCTTCCCAAGCTGGTGAGGATAGGGGAAGTTTTCCAAGTCTCCTGGCATACAGAACATGCTAGGCAGTGCCAAGAGCCTGCATCATCACTGCTGCCAAATTCAAAGCACAACCTGGAAACGGCCAACCCCACAGCTGTATTTCAGGCCAATTGTGCTGCTCCTTTTCCTGGAGACAACTGGGTAAGCAGGTGTCACAGATTAGAGGAAAATTTATCCTTGAGCAGGCAGTGTAGAAGCCACGAGATGGGCCAGTGAATCCTTTGAAACAGCACATTTTTCCTGGAGGTTATCACTAGGCTGCTCTCCCAGGTGTGATGCTATGGTGGGGAGATAGGATGCCAACGAATGGCATTTTTTGTGTGCATCACCCAGGATGGAGATGGGTAGAGTTTGCTTATTTGTCCCTGGAAAACTCTGTCAACTCAGCAATAGTGCTGTTTTGGGGGGCCGGGGGGGGGGCGGGGATTGGCTAGGGAAGGGGCAAAAAGCTTCCAGAAGGTTGTCCTGGCAGAAGACGGTAAGATGGAAGAATGGCCTCCCAAGTAGGCCCAACCAGTGCACAGGCCCAGTGCCCAGGATACCTGGAAGCTGCACGTATGCTGGGCGGTAGACACCGACTCTGGGGTGGTAGGTCCACAAAGCTGAGCTCTGGAGCTGGCAAGGGGCCCTGGCCTGCACCAGATGCAGTCTGTCCACTACCATGGCAGGGTCAGCCCTGTGTGCTTTCCCTTCCTCTGCAGGACGCTGAAAGGGAAGCTGGCCAGGCAGCACCCGGAGGCCTTCAGCCGTAAGTGTCATCCAGAGAGACCTGGGGCAATGCCAGGGGTGGGAAGGATACTAATCTGGTCCTTGACAACCTTGGCCAGGGTTCCCTCCCTGGAGGGGGTTGTTTGGGGGGATGAGGATAACTCTTGCCCTAGTGAGTGCTACATATTCTTATGAGCCAGGCTATTACCCACAACTACCATGCTGTGGGGCTGTAAGCACCCCTGTTTCACACAGGGAAACTGAGGCCCAGTGGGACATCAACTCTTCAGAGGAAGCATTGAGCATCCCATGCCCAATTTTGGTTTGTCCCATCTCTGGAATGGGCCAGCAGCTCCCCACCCTGCGGCTGCTGATAATCACATATATGACGGTGATTGATGCTGTTTATAGAGCAGGGGGCTGGGGGTGAGGGCAAATGAGGGGCCTGACCGAGGTAACAGTCAGAGGGCACAGCCAGGCTCATCCCCAGAGACCATGTCATCCTGACCCAGAAAACCCTGGTCCTCACCTCCCAGGGGGGCCTCTTACCTGCTTGGGCCTCAGTTTCCTCTTCTGTGAAATGATCCATCTTGCCTGTGGGGTGGGTGGAGTTGTGTCACAAGCCTCAGTTTGGCACTGGCCACAGGAAGGCCAACCCTGGGACCTCCTTCCCCCAGATATACCAGAGGCGTCCCTCCTGGAGGATGAGGATGAAGACCCCATCCCACCTAGCACCACAACCACCATTGCCACCTCAGAACAGAGCACCGGTTCTTGCGACACTAGCCCTGACACTGTGTCGCCTTCCCTCAGCCCTGGCTTCGAGGATCTGTCTCATGCCCGGCCCAGCTCCCCTGCTATCAATGGCCGCAGCCAGACAGATGATGAGGAGATGCCGGGCGAGTAGCCCTAGCCCTGGTGCCTAAGGGCAGTAGGGAACCTGGCCTCAGCAGCAGCAGAAGCAGCAGCAGCTCTACCACCCTGTTCTGTCATCTGGGGCTCCATAGGGGACAAGACTCCCACCAGGGGCAAGGCATTCCTGGGGGCCTTTCATCCCCACACCATCTGCACTGAAAGCATCTCTTCTGCAGACCCTCCACCTGTCCCAGGAATGAGCAGCCCCACCAGTCAGGGGCCACAGGGAGCTTTTCCAGGATGGGCCTAAGGTCTGCTCTGAAAAACACCTGAAGGTTCCCAGAGCCCAGAGCCAGATGCCCCCTGCCCCTGCTCCCTTGTCAGGACATTTAGGTGGACAAGTGCTATATCCAAGGTCACTGCAGCCTACCCCTACACCCACTAATTCTGGTTCTTTCTCCTGCACCTTCCTAAAATGAAAGTATTGAATACTTTTCTGTAATCCTATGTCAAGGTTTCTTAGATAGCTATAGAAGGCCCAGGGTGGGAGCTGGCCATTCACTCAGCCCCAAGCCTGGTGAGGCCTGTGTTTCTCTGACCAGAGGTGTGCTCCCTGAGGGCCCAGCAGGCCTCTCCCAGGGCCTTTGTGGCTCAAGGCAAGCCACCTTGGAAAACAGTTTAATGGAGTATTTTTGTACCCGATGTTTACAGATGCTGTTGGGAAGATATCAATAAAGACTCTTACTAAAAAGGGAAGGGTACACCTAACCTGTCTCCCTTCTGTTCTGGAACCCGCACACTACCCAGCCCATGAGTAATTCCTTAGCCCTCACCTCTAGGTCGAGTGCCCTGCACTTTTTTAGCCATCCACGAGTCTTGGCCTGTATCCGGAACAGCCCCTGGTCCCAGCCCACCTTCCCGAGCGAACGCAGCAGCCCTTCCTGCGCTTCCTGCTCCCCCAGTGCAGTCCCGAAGTCCAGATGTGCACAGCGGTCGTGGATTTGCCAAGTGACCGAGTCGGCGGGGGCCTCGCGCCCTAGGCTCTTGCCGATACTCCTTTTAGAAACCTTGCTTTAGCGCCAGTGTGCTGTACCCTAGGGAACCAGGACTCCGAGTGCCTGCTGCGGGATCTTCAGGCCACCCCGAGGCAGCAGGTGGGCAAGCCAGGCGGGGAAAGGCCCGGCGCCTCCACACTGGAGCCGGCAGGCGGGGCCCGCGCCCGGGAGCGGCCAGGAGACGCTCGCTTACAGGTGTCGCGGCTCGGTTCGCCTGCAGCCAACGCGACGTGGGTGTGGCCGAGGGCGGGGCCCGATGAGCCTGGATTGTGACGCAGGCGCGCAGCGTGCTCCGGGCGCAGGCGCTCTCGGCGGCGAACTGGAAGTTTCCGGTTCCGCCGCCCTCTTTCTCTTCAACGAGGCGGCCGCGCGGGCTGGTGGCGGCGGTCTTGCGGGTTCGCGAGCGGCCAGGGCCGGGCGGGGACTGCGGGGGTCCGGGTAGCGGAGGGGGCTGCCGTGAGCTCGTCCGAACGAGGCGCGTAGGGCTCGGGTTCTGAGTCCCGACTGGGCCCCGGAAGGCGACTCGGGATTCGGGAGAGCGGCCTGGTTGTGCCGCCAGCCCGAGCGTTCCGCGAAGACTTAGGGCGGCTCAGGGCCCCCGCGAACTGAGCCGAGTTGGGGGGGAGGGTATAGGACATGTAGCGACATGTAGCTCTTACTTTAAATCAGAGGGAATATTAAACCTTGGGTCCGAGTCTTTCCCAGCTTCCATCCTCTAAGGAGAAAACGGTAGTTGCTTCCATCTTACAGGCATTACCCCTTCTGTCCCCCATTTCCCTTTTTTGGGAAACGGAGTGTTATGTGTAAATAAGGGCCTGGGACGTGGTTGGCACATGTTATTTATAGGTTGGAACATGAGGCATGGTCTGGCAAATTTGAGTCTAACAGAAGGAAGCCAGAATGTTGGGTGTCCGAGCTTGGAGTGGCACAGAGGCGAGGGACTGTTGGGAGGAAAGTGTGTGGTGGCATGGCTGACGAATGGGGATCACACCCAGGCTGCAGGAAGGGCATTATATGGAGTAATGTGACCGGGGACTGAGAAGAGGGAAGAGAGGGTGGTGCCTGGCCACATATTTATTGTTAGTTCTATGGAGTTGGTAGACTCTCTCCTTTACCGAATCTGAGGAGCATAACCATGTGCCCTCCGTGCCACACAGGGGACTGGGAGTAAGGTGGAGGAAGCATCCTCACTTACAGGACATGTTGTTTGGGCTTCAGACTTGGAGGGCTGGGAGGTAGTGGGCACTGGAATTTGGATGCTGGCAGTCAGGGCCAGGGCTGGGTAACATCCCTCTCCCTACCAGCCACTCAGAACTACAGTGCTTACTATTCCATTCCACCACTCCCTCACTAGCAGTCGCAGAAATGCAGATCTTTGTGAAGACCCTGACGGGCAAGACCATCACCCTCGAGGTCGAGCCTAGTGACACCATTGAAAATGTCAAAGCCAAAATCCAAGACAAGGAGGGTGAGTAGCTGGGGTTGTGGAGGGCTGTGCAGTAGGGTTCTCTCTGCCAATGCAATCAGATTGCCAATGCAATCTGCTTGACAGTGCTTCCTCTATGTGATGATCAGGAGGCAACTGGTCATCTTTATTTCATTTCCCTTTTGATAGAGCCACCCAGCACCTCCATAATGTAACATTCCTCACTTTAGGCATCCCACCTGACCAGCAGCGTCTGATTTTTGCTGGCAAACAGCTGGAAGATGGTCGCACTCTCTCAGACTACAATATTCAGAAAGGTATGGGAGGCTGAACAGGGACCCAGGGGTCTAGGCTCTGGGGTGGACACTGACAGCAGCAGCTACCAGGATTTGGGGGGCAAGGGGACGCTGTTCTTAAGGTGAGGGTGAGATGGGCTGAGAAGTTCTGCTTCATAAGTTGTTTTCATCCCTGGAAAGTTTCATCTCCATCTGATTCTCTAAATGATTGGTCTTCTCTTCTCATTTGTCTTTTTTTTTTCCTTCCATATAAGACCTGGGTCTTGTTCAGAAGTTGTAGCTATTGTAGGGCCTCCGCTGGTGGTGCAGCGGTTGAGCGCTGGGCTGCGAGGCTACCCACAGCCTCTGCAGCGCTGGTTCGTTCCCCGGCCGCCGGCGAGGGTCCCACAAAAACCAAAAAACACAAAAGTTGTAGCTGTTGTAAAGGAAATCAGTGTTGCTTATTGCAGCAACAAGATTTAACTATGACCTTTAAGCAAAGGTCACCTTTGCTTATCAGGAAACTCAGAAAGATACTTTGGCATATGTTAGCCTGAGAGTCCTCCAAGAATGGTGGGAAATGATGGAATCGAAGTTCTTTGGGTCTGATTTGTCTGTCACTACATGTAGAACTCCGAAGGGGTTCTGATTCAGAACCTGCCCCCATGGCACGTGAGGTGTTCTGATTTGTACTTGGGGCACCAAGGCTCAGTCTTTGTCTCCAATCTTCATTTCCTATAGAATCTACCCTGCACCTGGTACTGCGCCTTCGGGGTGGCATCATTGAACCTTCCCTCCGCCAGCTGGCCCAGAAGTATAACTGCGACAAGATGATCTGCCGCAAGTATGCGCTCTTAGACGGGGAGAAGGAATGGTTAGAGATACAGCTGCAACCAGGTGATCTGGTTCAAAAGCTCAGATGTGGAGGAGGGGGCCCTCACCAATCCCTCTATCCCTGCACAGGTGTTATGCTCGTCTGCACCCCCGTGCTGTCAACTGCCGCAAGAAGAAGTGTGGCCATACCAACAACCTGCGCCCCAAGAAGAAGGTCAAATAAGACCCTTCCTTCCTTTGCCTGCAGGCAACTCCTGCCCAAGCCCCTTGACGCTGGGCCCTCAATAAAGTTTCCCTTTCATTGACTGAAGCAATAACTGGTGTCCAAGTGTCTTGATTTATCCAGTGGGGCGGTGGCTGAGCTCTGGATGTCCCCCCGGGGACTCTATAGTCTATTCTGTATAGACTATACAAAATAGACTCACTGTTCTGTGTAGATACTGGCAGTTTTGGTTGTCAGTTGTAAAATGGGCTGTGGTCCCTGCTCCTTAGGTCTGACAGGGTCTGTCATAACCATAGCGTGGTGAGCAGGGTTCAGTCCCAGTCCTCTGCCACAAGGCCTGATTTCTGCTGGCAAACAGCGAGACCTGCTTGCTGTTTTAGGTCTTATCATTTGTAACATGGGGACAAAGACTCCCTAGTCCAGAGACTGGTAAGACCACCTCAGTTTTTTATTTTTTTAAGTTCACTTGTGTGTGTGTAGAATAACTGAGGTATAGGCCAGAGGTGCAGGGGGTGAGAATGCACCAGAGACTTTGGGGAGCAGAGCAGGCAGATTTACTGAAATAACACTGCTAAGGGGAGCAGTGGGTGAGACAGGAGAGGTCTCTACCATATGTAGGTCTGTACCATTGTTCCTTGGATGGGGATGGAACTATGGCTATAGCTATGATGTATCTGAGACTTAACCCCTAGGCCATATATTAGCATTCAGGCTGTGGCCCTGGTGTCCAGAATATCCCACCTAGTTTTTTTTTTAAAGATTATTATTTATGTGTTCAAGAGCTGGGGTACAGGCCAGAGGGGAGGGGTGGGGGGGTGAGAGGATTCACTAAAGACAGTGGGGAACAGGGCCTCCCCAGTGGCGCAGCGGTTGAGCGCTGGGTTGCGATGCTGCCCGCGGCCTCTGCGGCGCCGGTTCGATCCCCGGCTGCTCCCCGGCCACCGGAGGAGGGTCCCACATGGTGCGCAGACCTCTCCTGCCGCCCGCTGCTCCCCTCAGCAGCGTACTTCAGTCCTTCTGCCTGCTCTGCTCCCCGCTCTGGCTCTGGTGAATTCTCTCACCCTCCCGCGCTTCTGACTATACCCAGTGCATGAATAAACAAAACAAACAAACAAATAAATAAAACATGCCTCTATAAAAAAAAAAAAAAAAAAAAGACAGTGGGGAACAGAACAGGCACATTGACCAAAGTACACTGCTGAGGGGAGCAGCGGGTGAGACAGGAAGCTTTGTGCCATGTGGGTTGCTCCCTGGCCGGCTGTGGATCGAACTGCTGCAGTGGCTGCAGATAGCTTCATAAGTTGCATCATAACCCCTTGCGCCACCAGGGAGGCCCTTTTTTTTTTTAAAGGATTTATTTTATTTATGCATATAAGAACTGGGGTACAGGCCAAAGTTGTGTGTCTGTGGAGGGGGGGGTGCGGAGAGGATTCACCAGACAGTGAGGAACAGATGGATTGACTGAAATACATTGCTGAGGGGAGCAGCAGGTGAGACAGGAGAGGCCTGCTGCACCATGTGACTTGCTCCCTGGCCAGCCAGGGATCAAACTCATGCTGCAGTGGCTGCCAATTGCTTGATGTCGCTGTGTTTAACCCGTGCCACCAGGAAGGCCCAACATCCCACTTAGTTTAAGACACCTCAGTTTTGAACATTAGGGTCCCACCTGAAACACGGTCAATCTGGGAGGGACAGGCCTGGGTGTTTGTAACACTTCAGATCTTCCTACAAATTGATTGTGGGTTGTGCCATGGACTGGCCCTGACAAGGTTGGTGCTTTTGTGTTAAAGCAGTGGGGTCTTGGTATAGGTGACATCCCAGGATTGGACAATGATGCCTGTTGTACCGGTAAAGGCTGGGGTGTCAGTCACCATAACTCAGCCAGTTAGGCTTCATGCCTTCAATTTCCTTTGGTCTCTACTTGAGAGAAAACTTCCCAAAGCTTAAATTAGTTGTATCTTTCAGCAAGAATTTCCTCTGTATTTAAAATGAGGCCCTACTAGCCTCATCCTTGTGCCAGGCTCCCACCCCAGGGCCTTTGCACAGATGTCTCCTGCCTCAACTTATTTCGGAGGTGTGGACAGCCTGCAAATCTGGGGGAGTTAGCAAAGGTTCCAGCAATTTGAGCTCACCAGTGTCAGAACCTTCTGTTCTTGGCACAGCCTTGTGAATATCACTTTTCAGTTTTGCACTGAGTGGGATCAGGATGGGCGGAGGAAGCGTTGACACAGATGCATAGGGAAAAAAACCCTAGCCTGGCTGTATTAGATTGATAACGAAAACAAGGCAGGTGCTGAACCGGAAGAAGTGGGGTGGATGGAGGGTGCCTTGGCTCTCCATTCTTCACAGGTCTCAGTTCGGTGTCCGGAGGCCTCCGGGCCTGTAGGGGGCGCCTGTCGGGGGAGCCACCTACTCCCCGGAGGAACCCCGCTGCGCAGTCATGTTCACTGCCGAGGCGACCACTGAGGCGGCAGTCCCAGCGGAGCCCAATGCTGCGGAAGCCCCCGGAGTCTCGGAGCGCGAGGAGCCGACGTGGGCCTGGGTGAGCCTCGGCCCAAGCGAGAAAGGGCGCGGACTGGGAGGTGCAGTTCGGGGACGCAGGCTTCATACCCCGGCCCTGCCCTATAGAAAGATGCCCCGATCCGGACGCTGGTGCAGCGCATCCACCAACTACAGGCTGAGCGTTCGCAGGCCTTCCGCCGCTTGGAGGAGTGAGTGCAGGTTACGGGAATGGCAGGAGTAACGAGATTCAGCCCCTGGCCGGCTCGGGGGTGGGCGTTCCCGGGGACGGTATAGTCACTGTGTGGAGAGGCTGCGGGGGCTGGGGCTGGGCAGGGGTCAGGGACTAGATTTTTGCTTTTTGCCCTCAAGGACCCATGGCTCATCCCCATTGCCCGACGTCCCACTCTGCAACGAGTTTCTCCCTTACCTAGCGCCGGGGTCTGTCTCTAGTAACCCTGTGGAAGTTAAGAGTCCTCCACGCTTTGGGGTCCAGGGATACTTCCTGGGGGAGGCTTTCTGGTGGTCCATGCGGGTGCAGGGCTTGAGAGCCTGGGGGCGTGGCCTCAGCACCCCCACCTGCCGCAGAGGCCATCGCCAGTACCTGCTCAGCGGCCCGCCCCACGACTTTCCGCGCTACCGGAGCACCGTGCACGAGGTGACCCAGATCTTCGCTGCCGCCTCGCGGGAGGTGCTGGCGGTGGAGGCTGAACTGGCTGGGCCGCGAGCGCAGCCGCTTCTCGCCGGCCATGTGCGCAACCTTCAGCAACTGGAGCAGACACGCCTGGCCACGGTGAGGTTCCACCCCACTCCATGATTGGTCCCTCTTGGTTTCTCCGGCTGCGGCATGCTCAGCCTACTGTGAGCCCCTTGTGGGAGGGGTCATATTTTGATCCCCTGCCCCGGGATACCGGACTCTAAGTCCCTTCTCTTCCGCCCCCAGTTTCCAGGTTTTGGTCTCAGGATGCGCCCACTCCATCCCAACCCTCACACTCTTGCTATATGCCCAGAGTCCGGCCCCACAGTGCCCCGCCCCATCTACCTTTTCTTAATGTCTTGGTGGGGTCCTTAATCTCCTGCTGAGGGTGGACGTAGATTCCCAAACGACGCCTCCTTTGGATCTCTTCCTAGGCTCTCCCCCTACTCCACCCCTACAGCCAATCCTGGCTGAGATACACTATATCCAGGTCAAATTCACGTGAGGCCACGCCCATGCCGCTCTCACAGCTGGGCTGCTCGACCACGCCCCTCCCAATCTCCTATCCCTAGGTTTTTGACTGAATTACACCCTCGGAATTATAATGCTTTGCCCCGCCCCCTGAAGCCTTGAGGCCACGCCCGCTCCTCTCCTTCACGGATCCCTGGCTGAGACTTGATCCCCTGTCAAGTGCTCTAGGCCGGCAGACCAGGTCCTGAGGAGATCCTCTAGACTCCTCCTAAAGCACTGATCCTGGTGCTGCCTTCTGTGGTCCCACCTCTGGGATGCCCCAGAGTCTTCCTGAACTGGATGAAGGCTGGGGGTGGCCTATGACATTCACCACCACCCCACCAGGTGGCCCTACTGCAGTTGATGGGGACACCGGAGCTGAATGAGCAGGAAGACACCCTACAGATGGACCAGCTGAAGATCAAGTGAGCACTGCCATCCAGCGGGTTGCCTGAGCTAGATTTGCACATGCACCCATGGGTACCCATGCTTTGGCTTGCACACAACTCAGGGTAGACAGGCACCTAAGTCCTCACTTGGTAGCTCCCAGCCATGCAGCACACATTCCCCCAGTATACACCCTGAATTTTCACACTGACTGACTGTGCATTTCCAGAACACGCTGTGCACCTCACACAATCCTGCTCATGTGGCCAGACTCTGAGTCTGGCCCCAAAAGGCACATGCCTGCATATTCTTGCCCTTGGCCCGCAAGGCACACATGTGCACACCCACTCAAGATCTGCCAGTCACACAGCACATCCTCCAAATGACACCCCACCCCAAGATGACCACTCTTTGCCCACTCTGCCCCATTCCTCCCAGGCATCCAGTGGTCCTCCCAACTGCTGTGCCGGCTAGAGGTTTGGCGGCAGGCAGGAGGGCCCAGAGCTTGCTACAGCCCCCTTGGAGCTACGCAGCAGCAGCTAATTCACCCCATCTGGGTTTTATTTATAGTTCTCATCCGCTCTTGTAGGGTAATTAAAACCATGGAGGCGATCAGCGAGGTCCTCCAGGACCTCAGGTTTGATGCAGAATCTGCCGAGTGATGGTGGCTCCCGAGGGACGCACTCAGGGAAATGGGGTGGGTGGTGCCCATCCCAGCCCCGAGCACCTTCTGGTGGGGGTTGCACCCTGCTGAGCTGCTGCCCCTCAACTTTGCTGCCCCTCCCACAATAAAGGACCTTTTGTCCATAACCACTCCACTGTCTCTGTGTCCTGGGGTGCTCAATGGGGAGTGGGCCCCCATGGGGCCAGGGATGGCAGTTGGATGATTTCATACCCATCTCAGATTGTAGGAAGTCTGGCATTTGTAATCACATTCTCCAAGGAGTTAAGAATCAGCTGCTTCAGATCCTGAAGAGAAAGAGCCTGATAGTCTGGGAGGTGAAGACTCCATCCCCAGACTCATTAGGATTCCTCATGCCGCCCCTAAAATCCACTGTCCCCAACCCAGACCAGGCCACTCAGACTCCAAACTCACCTTCACAATCAAGGCACCTAAATAGCATGTTTATTTTAAAAGACTCTGGAGGGGTCCAGGGTGGGGGAAGTAATGACCTCTCCACCAGGCAGGGGTTCTGGGCAGCTCAGCCACTACCACCCCCGCCAACACACCCACTGTGGCACACATGGAGATCAGAGCTGTTGTGGTCCTTGGAGCTCGAGTGCCCACTCCCTGAGGCAAGGGTACAGAGGTGGCTCTCAACTGGGTGTGGCCTCTAGTTCTCCAGGCTGCAGGGAGGTCAGCTCTATCCTCTAGAGTTTATCTGGCAGGACCTGCAAGCAAAGAGAAAGCCAGCTTAGGCAGGGGCCTTGGGAGAAGCCGGTAACAGAGCAACTAAGGTCTCATTCAGGCCTCACACCCACCACTTTCAACTGGATGACCTTGGGTAGGGCACTGCCCCTCTCTGGGCCTTGGTTTCTTCATCAGAGAAGTAAGAATATCCATCATGAGGTGTCCTGCAGGTAAAGGACTTGGCACAGGGCCAGCATGCAGTAGGCGCTCAGACATGCTAACTAGGGTATGTTCATCAGACATTCTCAGGGGGCCGGTTGCCCTTACTGAGCTAAAGACCACAGAGTCAGGCATACAGTTAGGAGTTAAGTAAAAGCCGATAAAGGAGCAGGAGAGTCTATCTCAGCTTCTCCAAGGCCAAGGGTAGAGGACCACAGCCTGTGGCCACCAGGAGGGGCCCTTGTCTCCCTACCGCCATCCACCGGGGCCCCCTTACCTCTCGCCGAGCCCCGTCTGCCCGAGGGCAGGATCCCCTCGTCCTGTGCTTGGAAGGAAGGACGCAATGTCTGGGGGCTGCGGACCTAACTGCCCTCCCGTTTCCCTCCCTGCGCCCACCTCCCGGCTCCCACCGGTCCCTCCTTCCTACCTGGTTTCGGGTCTTGTGTGACTTCTGCATCCAGGCTCGCCACTGGTCGTAGAGGCGGAAGCTAAGGTTCGAGCAGTACGCGTGTTTCTTGAGCCAGCCCAGGAACTGCTTGAGCTCGCGCCGCACGGGCCCCGAGCTCGGCTCTCCACCCCGCGGCTCGCACGCCCCGCCGCCCGGGCCCGGGCGCTCTGATGGGGGGCGGAGCGGCAGGTCAGGGCGCGGCCGGCAGAGGGCGCGCGCGGGCAGGCGCAGGAGGGCCCCGCGCGGCGGGACTGAGCTCCCCGCGGGAACCTCCCTCCGGGTTTCTCCCGGCCCGGGGCCTCCCCACGGCGCGGCACAGCAGCCCAGCTGCGCCCCTGACGAGGTGGGGGTCAGGGGAAGAAAGGGCCTTCCCAGGACCCGGGTTCCCATGGTCTGAGCCAGGTGTGAGTGGAAGGGACCGGGGTAGGGGCGGGGGAGGGGAGCGGGGATCACGGCAGAAATGAGCCGCCGAGAAAGCGAGAGACCTCGATGTGAGCGGCAGGGATGGAGGCTGGAAGAGACATGGAGGGCAAAAAGCCATGGGGGGCGGGACTCTGTCAAGGGGATGCCTAGGACCGAGGGATGGAGACTGCAGGAACAGGGAGGGCCTGGACCCGGAGGATGAAGGAAGACAGGAGACAAAGGGAGGGTAGAGGAGATACTGAGGGGAGGGACAGGCCTGGGAGCAACTAGCCCGTAGGACAGGGAGTGGGCCTGGAGGGTCAGGTGGGAGGCCTGCCTGTCCGTCCAGCCGCCAGCCGCAGCCAACCCCCAGCAGGCCGGCGGATAAGGACATCGGCCTCACGTCATAAATAACGCCGGGGACCTGCTGACAGGCCCTGGCACGGCCCCGGCCCCCACAGCCCCTGCGGCCTCCCCCGGCCTCCCCAGCATCCCCAGCGGACACAACCGCCTTCTGGCTCCCGTGCAAGAATCGCAGGTGCTGGGCACGAGCAGGGGCCAAGGCTCAGGCCCCTCCCGGCCGTGCTAGCTCCCTCCCACCCCGAACCTGGAGGGGCCCGGGCTGGGGGCTGGGAACTAGCTGGAGCCAGTCTCTGACCCTCCCTGGCTCTGGCACCCTCTCTGGGCCTTCGTTTCCCTATCATCTCTCATGGGGCTGGATTTCCAGCAGATGGAGTTCAGATCCGTGTGTAACCTTGGGGTCTGGCTAACAGTCTTCAGTGTCCTCACCTGAGAAAAAGGGGTTTCCTTGGGGTGAAATCATGCAGGGGGAATGGGACAGGAGCTACAGTAACCACCATGCAGACACTTAGGTGGCACCCACCATGAGGACATTTTACATGAATTATCTTATCTAACCTTCACAACCACCTGAGGCAGTTTCCCACTTCCCAGATGGAGAAACTGAGACCAAGGAACAGATTTACTACCATTTCACAAAGAGAATGCACAGAGGGCAAGGGGTGTCAGGCCCAAGTCCCTGATCATTCTGATTTACCTGCATTGATCAGAAAGGGAAACAGAGACCCATTAGAGGGAGAGCTGGCCTTAATAGACCTCAGAAGGAGGGGTCTCAAACTTGCCCTTAGGGCATGGTGAGGGAGTATAGGTGGGGGGAATCACCCAGGTTGGGGTAGGGCTATTGGAGAGAGAGGACCCTTCATGAAGAGGTGACCTTTGCTAATAGGGACTACGTCCTGTTATATTTTCTAGAGAATTACTTTTTCTAGGGAATCTAGAATATTTGTAGAAAAACTTCCTATTTTTAAATATCTGCAAGCAGGTCAAAAATTTTTTTAATGACAGGCCAATATAAATAGATCCTGGGCCCACATTTGGTCTGCAGGGGTTACCAATTTGAGACCTTTGCTCACTTGGCAAGAAATGGGAAATCTAGGCTGTTTTGGGATGGTTCCTCGACCATCCAGACCTGTTGGGGTGCTCACCACTTCGGGGGGTTGAGGCAGCTGTGGGGTGGCTCCATTCACTCCAGATCCCAGCCTTTTTGGAGCCGTAGATGCCGAAGGGGTTGCAGCGCACTTGCACGAAGTACACAGTACCTGGCTTCAGGCCAGCCAGGCGGCATGAGGTCTGGTTGCTCACGTCGTCCACCACCTGAGCAGCAAGGGCTGGGTCAGAGGCCACTCAGAGCTAAGCCGGGGGTGGGTGACAGGGATGGGCACCTTCCAATCCACGCTGTCCTCCACACGGTAGCGGATCTGGTACTTGGCTTGGAAGAGGAAGTCCTTGAGGGCAGGTGGTGAAACCCAGCGTACGCTCAGCTGGTCCTCCAAGCCCCCAACTCGGCTCACGTGCACATCTGGTGGGGGATCAGTGGTCACTGTGGGGCAGGGACAGGCGTAGTCACAGGCCTCTCCTGGGACCTGACAGGCCCCTGTCTGTATTCAAATCCCAAGGCACAGATGGCACACCTGCCTCATTCTTCTCCCTTTGTCCCCCCAGGATGGGTGGATTACATTAGATAAATATTTGAGGAAGACTCAGCACGTAGAAGCATTCAATTAGCGTGAGCTATTTTCACCATTATTATTTGTGACAGGAGATACGCAATCCTGACTTAAGGGAGCTATTAAAAAGAAGACAGTGCCTAGCCCAGAATATTATTATGCTGAGGGTGTCTAGGCCCCCAGACCCCTGGGAAATTCCCTCGCACCCCCCCTGCCCATCTTCAGTGACTTGTCATTTGATGTTCTTAAATATGACAGCCTTGCTGGCTGCCCAATGACAGCTAAGGCTTAGAACATGCACACTGTAGCTTCAGAATTTAAGGAGCAAAGTTGGAAGCAGACAGGGGTGGGGAGTGATCCCAAACATCCCAGGGATCCTACTAGAAGCCCTGTGGGCAGCAGGGAGGACTCATTGCTCCCCCTGAGGCCTTAGTGAGGGGCTGAAAGGGTTAAGGCACAGGCTTGCTTGGGGCTGAGAAACACCCTAATTAGATTAGGCCCAATTCTGCTCACAGATCATCCATTTCCTGCCTCCTGCCTTGCACACCCCCCCCCCCCAGCTCCAGGCCGCAGCTTCCTGGGGCGCCTCCCGACCTGGGCGACTCCTTCTAGCTCCCCCAGGGGCCCCCTCTAGCACACCTGGGCCACTGAGGGGGCAGCAGCCAGACCAGGTGTTTTCCACAGAGTGGGGGTCTCCTGGCTTCTTCAGGGGACTGGGGACCGATGGTGCATGCCCCACCCCAATCATACAGTTGGACCTGGAGCTGCAGCCAAGGCTAGGTGGAGGGGGTAGGACCCTCCTTGTAGAACAGACAAGTGTGGGGCCCTTCAGGATGTCAGGGAGATTTGGGGGAGGCCTCACCCACATCTAGGATGTCCAGTGTGAGCACATCGGAGCGGGCTGATCCCAGTCGATTGGTGGCTTCGACCCATATCTCATAGGGTGTGAAAAGAGCCAGGTCCTTGGGAATGTGGCAGGAGTGAGGTCCTACTGTGTGGTACTCCTCACATGTGTTGTCCTGCCCGTACCACCTGCAGGGTAGGAGGGGTGCCAGGACACGTGAGGCTGCTCCCCCTCTGGGCTCTCAGACCTCCCCAAGGCAGTCCCATAATGGGGACGGGACATGGGGCTTGGAGAGGGCAGGCTTGGCCAAGACCACACTGCCAGGCTGGAACACACGTCCCTGATGGACGCCACCAACCTCAGCTTGTACTTGAGGGAGTAGTTGGTATGGAGGAAAGTCTCCCCATGGGCCCCCGGCGTCCAGCGGCAGGTCAGGTCCTTCATGTTCTTGGACCAGCAGCTGATGTTGAAGGGTTTCTCTGGGGGCACTGGGGAAGGGCACAGGGGGCTGAGGGTCTGGACTGACTGTGGACAGGTGGAGATGTTGCTGGCCACAAGTCAGGTCCCCACCTTGGCATGGGAGGAGGGTAGACAAAGTCGATGTTGACATAACCTCCTGCCTGGGTTTTCTTGAGGATGCTGAGTTGGTACTCTAGGCTCTCAGTCCCACCCCCAAAGCTCCTTGTCCTCAACTTGTGTCAGTGTGCCCACTGTCCAATCCCATGCCAGAGGGTTCATGATTCATGCCCCCTCTCTAGACAGGGATGCTGCTCCCAAAAGCCACCCCTGGGTGTCCTGGGGCCACTTACGGCCAACATAGAGGCAGGATCCAGCCAGGATGCTGCCGTCGCGGGCATGGCACACGAGGTTGTCCCCTGACTGCTGCCTGGATCCGTTGAGGTTGGCCAGGGCAAGGGCCAGGGTGGAGTCGTTGAGCACACGGGAGGACTCAGGGGGTAGCCGGCGCCCGTTGAGGGTCCAGTAGAGGCCCTCGGCAGTGGCCCCAGGCAGGTCCCCGTGCACTGAGCACGTGGCCTGCAGGGAGGAGCCAATGAGGAGCGTGGGGTCCTGGGGGCTGATCACAGCTGTGTCTGGGGTCAGAAAGGAGTGCTGTCAGGCCAAGATTAAGCAGCCCTGAGCCCCACCATACCAAGATCTCCAGGGCTGTTTATTATGGTTCCCCCATTTTACAGATAAAAAAATCGAGCCTCAAGTGACTGGTCCAAATTGGTGTGGGTGAAGCCAAGGTAATCCCAGGTCTGTATCCCTGACTTGCTCAAGGCTCTCTGAGCAGACTCAGACATAAGTGCTCCCTCAGATCCAAGTCACTCTTGCTTTGCACATAGTCTGACAATCACTACACTCTGCTTTTTCATTTATTTTTAATCATTAGAAATAAGAGCATGAGTTCTCCCTCTGACACCCCAGAGGGTGAGTGTCTTTAAGGGTGCACTGACTTAAATACTGTTTATTTTATTGATGAATACACCAAAGCTTTAAGAGGTCAAGTCCCTGGGAAGGAGGGGACATTATTTAAATCCAGATTTATAACTTTCCAAGTTCCTCTCTGTTGCCCTGAGCTGAAAGTGGTTGTGGCAAGTTTTAGCCTTCCAACTCCCATTCAATGGTACTTGACATCATGGCACGTCCCCTTGACTCGGTTTCCCTAATCTGCAAACTGGGAGAGAGACTCAGTCCTTGGAGCCATTGTGAAGCTCAGGTTCTATGAACTGTCTTCCTAAATGTGTGTGATTTGGGTTGTAGGCATATGGGTCCGAGACACTGGCTGGTAACTCCCCTCCTTTCTGTTGTTGGGGGATCCCAGGGCTTAGAGTCTTAGAGGAGTCTGTTTTACCCACAAGAAAATGGAGGCTCAGAGAAGAGAGAGTGGATACCCAGTTCAAGTCCCTGACTTTTCTCTTGGTCTCAGTCTCCTCATCTGGGAAGTGGGTACATGGTATCAACCACATGGGTTTTTTGCAAGGAGTGAAAGTATGGTCTTAAGGACAACTCTGTGGGAGCTTTAAGCCAGGATGACTTGGGTTCAAAAACCTGCAGGTCGCTGTGGAAGCTCTACTTCTCTGAGCCTCTGGGAATGGATCGTTCCCTCCAAGAGCAGCTGTAAACCATTCATACATTCACAGAGCATCTACAGTGTGCCAGGAGCTGGGGTTACAACAGTGACAAAGACATACAAACTTCCCGCTTGTAGGCCGTGAATGCAAGGGAGCAGCAGAAAAAGAATAAATATGTAACAGAATAAATTCAGGAAAACATAAAGCCCTGGTCAATGGTGATGGCTCAATGACCTAAGAGGCCTGTCTTGGAGGCGGCCTTTGAGTTGAGACCTGAATAAAGAGAAAGAAGTGGTTATGGCATTACAAAGGAGTGTCCTTTCAGTGGGAGTTGCACGTGCAAAGGTCCTGGGGCAGAAGAGATAGGAAATGTTGTCTGGGAGGTCAGCAGGAGCCTATCTTGGGGAGGCATTATTCCAGGCTTCTGAACAGGGGAGGGATTTGCATATTAAAAGGATCCCTCGGCAGCTGTAGTAAGGTACAGTGGGGGGTGGCGTGGGGGGAGGAGTGAGGAGAAAAGAAACCCAGCTTTGTTGAGATGGCAGCCAAGGACAGGGGGATCCTGGCCGCCTAAATACCAGCAGCTATCCTATGTTGGCCCTCACAGCCCCAAATGGGCGACGTGGGGTGAACACGGTTCCTGAGCCCAGCCCTGACAATTTTCCGGGGCAAACTTGGCCATGTCTTCCTGGAGCCTGGGATCATAGCTGCGTTTGGGGCTTGGCCCAGGGCTCGCCGGAGGTCTCAGCGTCCGTGCGAAGGAGCGGGCCAGAGCTGAGGAGGCGGGGGCGGCCGGGGGCGGGGGGCCAGGGGGCCGCCCCGGAGGTCCCAGGCAGCCAGCCGCCCGCTAATTCGGAATTCCTTCGGCATGAACTCGGGCGTGCCAGCGTTTCTGCCCCGGCCCACCCACCGCTTCCTGCTTTGGCGCCCCCCCCACCCCCCAGCAGGGTGGGAGGCACAGCCAGGCTTGCCCGGACCCCAAGCCCACTCTCAGCCCTCCAGGGTGGTTCACCCTTCTTGCCCCCACCCACTGTCACTGCCAGATCAGGAAGGGGCTCTCTGGGGGGTCCTGGCTGGGGGGCACTGCCCCTCTGCCATAACTGCTTGGCCTGGGTTGGTGTGGCCTGCCTGCCAACAGCTGCAGCTGCCCTCCCAGGGCTGGGCGGGGGACAGGGCGAGAGGGCAAGGCCAGACGGGCCTGGACAGGCCAATCCCCCCATCCCAAGCTCCAACAGGAAAGGTCAGAGGGAGGCTTTCTTCTCCCAGGATGTGGCTGCCAATTTCAGCTGGAGCACCTGGGCAATTGGCTGCCCCTTCCAGTGCTCAGTTTTCTCTTCTATAAAATGGGAGGAAAATCCATCCATCCTACCTGCTAGGGAGACTAGTCAGATAAGATCCCACTGTCCAGAGGGTTCAGTTCAGCCTAAGAACTATTAGGATCATGATCCCTCAGTCTCGGGGGTTCCTAGCTAGCTCAGCACTCCCTCCAGACCTCCCCAAACAATGAGCCACAGGGCTGGGAACTGGGATGTGCACAGTCCAGGCCAGGCAATACAGCTGGGGACAGCCCACTGAGGTGGGGAGGGGGGTGCCTGGGGTGGTTTGGGGGTTCCTAGAAGGCTCCCCAAGGCATATCTATGGTCTGTGCGTTTGGAGAGCCCTCCCTTCCCTCCCCCCTCCCCGCCTTCCCTGCAGAGCTGGGGCCTTTAAAAGTTTTTCCTTCCCCTTTTCCCCAATCTGGAGCCACTGCTGTTATTAAAAAAGAACACCATGTGTTTTAAAAGGGAAAAGTGTGAGATCCTCTGCTAGCGAGACAGGAGGGTGGCCTCCATCCCGGGGTCCCCATGGGGTTCCCGTCTCCCGTCTTGCTGGTACCTGCAGACACTTTACGACCCACCAGCCTGCTGCTCAGGTGCTAAGACACACCATAAGTAGAAACATATTGCAGAGGTGTGAGAATCTTTTATTTAATTTCTTCCCCCTAAAGGAAAAAGCACACGCACAACACCACCCGCCCCCCCTCCACCTTCGCCTGCTTCTCTAAGGGCTGGGAAACAAAGCCTGCCACTCACAATGGCACTTTCAGTCACTGCCACTGCCTGGCAGGGCATCAGGGACCCTCAGACAGTCCCCGACAGTCCCTCACCTGCCCAAGCACCTTGAACAAGTTGGACTTTCAGCAAGTGCCCCCCAGGAGATTCCTAGACACTGCCCTTCCTGAGGTGCTCCGCAGGGAGCTGGCAACAGTTCTGTGCAGTGTGGGACAACCTGGGGAGCAGTATGTGCCCACTCTGGGGGACCTGTGCCTGCATGGAGTTCCTTAGTGATTGTGAACGTCCAGGGCATGCTGTGCCTGCGTGCGTGCCCCTGTGTTGCCTCCCTCATGGAATGAGTGTGAGACCATGAATGTGTGTGTGTGTCAGGGATGGAATGTGTATATGCGCGCCCCGATGGTGTGCGAATGTGCATCTGGGATGCAGTGTGCGCGCGTCTGAGGGCGAGGGTGACGGGCCACAAGCCAGTGTGAGTCTTTGTGTGTCTCTGGGTGTGTCCCAGAGCGGGTCTGGATGTAGAGACGGTGTCCTGGCGAGGGTGTGCATTGGGTGGGGGGCCTAGAGTGCCTGAGGCCAGGAGCTCCAGACAGGGCGGGGGTCTCAGCCAGCTCAACTGTGGGTTCCCAGCGAGGTCCCCACCCCCACCCCCGCTGGTGCCCGAGTTCGCAGGCTCCCGCTACCTCTCCCTCTCACCCACTCGCTCACAAAGATTTCTTTCGCTGGAGGCTCCCAGTCCGGCACAGCCTGGCCCGGAACGCTTCCAAGAGCCTCCAGTGGTGGGGACTCCGCAGACCCCCGCGTGCGGGGTCCCGCAGGGGGAGGGCGGCGGCGCCGACCCGCGGAGAGGCGCGTCCCCGGGGACCCCCGGGCCGCGCGCCAGGCGGCCAGAGCGGCCCCCTCCCGCCCCGCCTTCCTCGCGGGGCTCATCCCTCCACCCGGGGGGCCCGCTTGGGGCCCGCACCCAGCGCGCCTACCGCGTGCGCCCCCGCCCGGGAGCGGTGCCCCGCGGTCTCCGTGATTCCGAGTCCGCAGACGCTGTCGCGTGCGCCTGCCGCGTCCCAGTGTGCAGAGGGTCCCAGGCCTCGGCCCCCCGACACCCGGGGGCGTGCCGGGCGTCTTCGGCTGGGCGGCCCAGGTAAGAAGGCCTTGAGAGCGGAAGCCGGACCCTTGGACCGGAGGGCTGCGGTGCCGTGCGCCCCGCAGGTGAGGGCGCCCCGAGGGCCGCGCCGGGGGCGCCTTCCTTTGTTCCCGGGCCGTCCAGGTGGCGCCCGCGCCCCCTCCCCCCATGGCTGCCCCCTGGGCGCACGCTCTCGGCCCAGGCGGGAAGGGGGGAGAGGGGCGCTGGGTACTCACAGGCTCCCGATCCGGCTCGCGGCGCCCCGAGGACGCAGAGTAGCAGTAGGGGCAGCAGTGGCGGCGGCCGCCGCGCGGATTGGGCGGCGGGGCCCGGGCGGCCGGCGGGCATGGGGCCGGCGCTGCCGGGGGCGCGCGGCGGGCGGCGGCGGTTGAGGCACAGGACGCGGGCCGGGCGCGGGAGGGCGCGGGCTGGGCAACCCGCACGTCGCTGGGCGCGGGCGTGGAGGCCGGAGCAAGTCTGAGCAGCCGAATTGACAAGGCGCTAATGCGCCGCTGGCCCCGCCCGGCCCGCCCCCGGCCCGGCCCGGCCCCGGGGGGGCGGCAGGCCCCGCACCGGCCTCCCCGCTGCCCGCCTGCCTGCGGGCACCGCGCGCCCCACCCGTCCTGCCTCCGCCCCGCCGCGCACCGCGCGCACCCTGTCCGGCGGCCGAAAACCGACCGCCTCAACCCCTACGGGCCTGAGACTTTCCTCTCCAACTCTGCCAGCTACAGGATCCCCACCCCCAATCTTGGACCAGGCGCCCCCAATCCCTTCTTCATCCACTCGCCCACTTCCCTGAACCCTGCTCCCTATCTGTGCCCCTTCAGTGTCCCCTGAGGCCCCCAACACTGGCCAACTTCTTTCCCCTCATCCTCAAGCCTCGGTTCCCAGCCCAGCTGGCCCCGCGCCTCCACTGAAGCGGTCCCTGAGTCCCGCTTGCTTCCATCTTCCGTGCCCCTTTCTCCCCACCGTCCTGAAAGTTGCCCCTCCTCACGCCATGCCCCACATCTTCAGCGTGTCTCCGATTTCGGCCAGCACCCCTTTCCACTCGACCAGCATCCCCTCCGACTTCATCCCGCTTCTAGCTGGTCCTCCGCTAGCAGCCTCGACCCCGGGCTTTGCTGGAGGGAAGACAGAGAAAAAGCTAGAAGGCATGAAGTTCCCGGCCCTCCTGTGGCTCAACTGTACCCCTGCCCCCGAACAGGGCTACAGTTCCTCAGGGGAGCTCCCGCATGGGCATACCGAGGTAAATGGCCCCCTCGGGTGCGGGGAGGGGTCCTGCGCGGCAGGCAGGATTCCCAGGAGGAGAGCGGTAAGGAGGCCCCCTCCGGACTCGTTGACAACCCCCCACGGAAAAATCCGCTCAGCGGCCCGCGGGTGGGGTGCGCCACGCAGTGAGTAATCGTTCCGGCGGCCACCGCCCGCCGCCGACTCCAGGTAACCTGGCTGCCCCAGCAACGCATAGTTTATCTTCCTTCTTTTGCGCAGGATTCTTCTCCACGTTATTATTTTTGACCAATGCTTGGGTTTCGGGACCCCTCCATGACGGACCCTTATCCGCCTCCTCCTCATCCCCATGTGATACCGGCGCCCTTGAAAAAAAGGGCTTCTAGCCTCCAAAGCTTCGGTGGAGAGAATGCCTGAAATGAGAGTTCCAGGGCCGTCTCCAGTAGGGTGGTTAGGGTCGCAGCCCCGCCCCCAGCCTGAAGACGGAGATGAAGAGCTCTAACTCCACCTTCCAGCAGTTTCTATAAAGGCCTGACCCTCCCCCATGTTCCTTACCAGCCAAGGAGATAAAAGTGTTTGAGGGGGACTTGGGTATCCCCATATTGTTGCTCAAGGCTTCCCTCGAGCCCTGCCACTCAGGTCCCCAATTCGGACCCCAGACTGTCATAAAAAAAAAAAAAAAAAAAGGATTGGAAAATGTAGCCCTGGGTACACTGTGCACCCATCCCACCAATCTGGACTTTGGGTGGGTTTGTGGGGAGGGAGTGGTGCACTGCCATTACTGGAGTAAGCCAGGCCCTCTGCCTCAGTTTCCTCCTTGGCACAGTGGCAACTCACAGCCAGTGTAAGGGCTTCTGAGTAGATACCGGCAGCAGAAGATGCCGCTACCAAAGAGTTTAACACTGCCTCACAGCACCAGGGCACTTTCTTTTGGAGCAGAAGTTGTCCCAAGGCCTTAGTTTGTCACTTCAGGAAAATGGGGCCAAAGTCCCACCTGCCAGGTGGCCCACAGAGTTAAGTAGAAGTGGCCATCATTGGCTGAAAGCGTGTTTCCAGGATGCAAGCTATCCCTTCCACATAAGCCCTGCCCAGCAACTTTTGACTCCCTCCTCTGAGGACTTCAGGTTCCTGGAGCAAAATCTTTATACGTCCCCCTCCCCCAGCTCTTTCCCCATTTAGAAAAAACACTTCCCCATCCACCCAGGTGCTCAGGCCAGAGACCTGGAGACGCTCATGAAACTCTCCTCTTCGCTCATCCCCCATGTCCAATCCATCAGCAAATCCTGTTGGCTCTGATTCCAAGATACATCCCTTTTCTGAGATTTTGACCCCATCTCCTCACCCCACTGGGGTCTAGGCTTCACCATCTTCCTCTGGGATGCCACCTGGCCTCTGCCTGAGTTTCCCTGGTAACCCTCCTGCCCTCCACTGCGCATCAGGCAGAAGGAACTTTTAAAAGAAACAGAGCAGGTCTTATCTGCCCAGTTCTCCCCCCTCCCCTTCTTTTTTCTTCACGCGCTTACTCTCACTCTGCTCCAGCCACTGCAGCCCCATGACCCCAAACACATCAGACTTGCTACTGTGGCCAGGTCTTTGCACACTTGCTGTTCCCACTGAAGGGATGCGGTTCCCCCAAGTACTCCCCCTTGTTAGCACATTCTCTTCATCAAGTCACAGGTCAAGTATCAGCTTCTCAGAGCACAGACTCCCAACCCTCTTCCCTGCCCCAATCTCTTACCAGGCATTCTCCATCCCTTTGCCCTTTTCAATTGTCTTCATTCTACAGCTCTTGGAACATCAAACATTGTCTTTCTCAGGCCAGACACTCTAAGAGCCATTAGGACTTCATACTGGGCCCAGTGAGGACTGCAGGACAGCTCAATGAATGCTTGTAAAATTAAAGGATAGATATTTCTAAGTTCTTCCAAGTAGCAAGAAAACTCAATTGCAGTGAATCCTGCTGCCTGGGGTCCCAGCCAGGTCCATGCCCCATGACTTGCAGTGTAACCTAAGCATGTAACCACCCTTCTCTGTTCCTTATCCATAGAAGGATATGGATTGTTTGTCCAGTCCAGACCTGGAGCTTGCCCTCTACCCTTTAGATAAACTTTGCCCTATACTTTCCACTAAAGAAAGAGGTTTGGCTCCTAGGTGCACCCTGACATGCCCTTGGTTCCCCCCTCCCCCACAGCTTAACCCTTTCCTGACAACCACACTGACTCGGTGCAGGAAGGGAAAGAAATTGACAGAATTCTGGCAAATATTGACCCAAGTCCTTGAAGGTGGCTGGGAATGTTCTTGGGACAATTGGAGGGCCCCACCTGGGCTGGGGGAGGGCACCTCCTTAGTCCTTAATCCTCTTTCTGGGCCTCTGGTGATATGTAGGATTAGGTTGGGGAGACCAGCCCCAGCTCCCCTGATAAATACAAGGCAATGAGGGTCACCAGGAAGAAGGTAGTGGTGACACCTTCAGGGTCCCATAGGGACTCAGAGCCAGTGGGTTTGGGTTAAGGGGGCACAGAGCTGCCTCCTCTCCCATGCAGAGACCTGGTATTCAGGGCTCCTCAGTGGGGGTGGGGGGATAGGGGTGGGGAGGATTGATTAGCTGTCTGGTGTTCCCACTGGGTGTTTCCAGAAAAAGGGGGTGCCTTAAGGGTCTGGACCTAGACTTGACGTTGGGACAGCAGAACCCAGGTTTAGGACCTGTGTGTATGAAGAGGTGGGGCCTATGTATGCCTTTATCATTTCTATGAGGAGGAGGACAGAGCCTTGGGAGTAGGGATCAGGGGTCAGGATCTTTGTGCACTTTGTACTTCAGAAGTTCCGGGTCGTGAACACTGGAGGTAGGGGTCTCAGGAAAGTGAAATTGCCAAGATCCGGGTCAAGACCCGGTGCCCACCCTCTATAGAGGTTTGGGTTTACAGCCCTTCTGTGCCCTGGAGCTCCTCGGATGTCCGAGTTCCAGGAGGCCCTTGTAGGGGACATCCGTGTCCCTTTCCCCCCACCCCCCCAACCTCCCCCAACTCCCCCCACCCCCCAGTCAGCTGCTAGGCGCCACGGTGCCTGCGTTCTTCCCAGCCTTTACCCGGCTTGGGGGTGGGGGTCAGCGGGGTCGTGGTGAGGGCGGCAAGGGACAAAGGGCGCTTGTCCGATGCCCGCCCTGACCTCGGTCGCTGCTTCCCGGACGCCTGGCCCGCGGCTGATTCACGCCCAAGCCGGCAGCAGCCCTCTCACCACCGCTCCCCCCAACAGCCTGCCGCCCCCGGCCGGGCCGCCCCGGGGGGTAGGAAGTGGGGGGGCGCGAGGGGCGGCGCCGAGTCAACTTTCCCTCTTAAGCCCCGAAGGAATGTCGGCGGATTTCCTGAAACCCGACCCTGGCCGCCCGCCGGCCCGCCTGCCCCTCACCTGGACCTGCTCCCTAGGGACCGGAGGGAGGGGCGCGGGGCCTCACCTGGGGGGCCTGGGTCGAGTCCTCCTTCCGCTCTCACCCTCAGCGGCCTCGTGGAGCTGAAAGCGCGGGGGACGGTCATTAAACTCACTCTTCCCTGGAGAAACCTTGGTGGATTCCCAAGCCCCAGCCTCAGTTTCCCCTTCTGCAATTGGCCAGGGGTGTCCTTCCTGGTGCGTCTTCAGCGGCTCCTTTATGCCCAACGCCCCTCCACCCCCACCCCTGCCTTGGCACGATTTTGCCTATTTCTCTTTGCTTCTCTCGCTGGACACCTGGGCAGACCCTTTTTGCCACCCCGTGCCTCAGTTTCCTCATCCGTAAATTGGACTAAGCTGCCAGTACTTCCTTACAGTGCAGTTGCGAGGAAACACCTGGGAAGTGTTTTGTTTGTAATGAACGGAGGACTATGTGCAGGGCTTAAGCGTGCGTGGCTCTGGAATCGACATACATAGGCTTGAATCCTGACTCTGAGGAGGGGTCTTGGAGCCTCAATTTCTCATCTGTTACTCGGGGGACCGTATTGGTCATCACCAACGGCAGTTTCCTCAGACGCGGGTCTGGCGCGCAGTTGGAGTCTCAGGGTCCCTAGCTTGCGCGCCAACCGCGGGCTGGAGGCCCTCGCCGCTAGGTCGCGGCGGCCTAGCACTGGAGGGGCGGGGCGGGGCGGGGGAGGGGCCGCGCCGGGATCCAGATGTTCAGGGTCCGCCAGGCACAGCCGCGCCTGATTAAGCCACGTGGGGGCCGGCCCAGGCCGCAGAGATGAAAGCGCGGCGGCTGGCCGGGGGAGGGGGGCCGCCAGCGACCCCCCCAGCCCCTTCCTCCTCCGCCGGAACCTGCGGCGCCCTCTGACCCACTGACCCAGCGAGGCCGCTACCCCGTCTGCGGGGGCGGAGCGTAGAGGGAAGATGCGCCCACGGCCGCAGCCCCGCCAGCCAGGCACCTGCGGGAGGGACGCCGGCCAGAGGGAGTTATTGCAGGGGACCCGGCTTAGAGGGGAGCCTCCATTCTGAACCTGACATAGAGAGAGCTAGGGGACCCTCCTAATCTGAGATTCTTGCGGTTGCGATATGTCACCTAGAAGGATGACACCGAGGATAGACATTTTCCTGTTTTCCCACGGGAATTAGAAATTTCAGCAGCACCCCCTACCCCAAACTGCACCTCTGTATCTCTTCTCTCTCAGCCTAGGCCGAAGGACCCGCAATTCGGGGCAGGAACCAGATCGGCCGGGTCTGTGGAGGGGGGCTGGGCCTGAGGGAGTGGAGACAGCCGAGGGAGGGAGCTCCGGGGGCGGGGGGAGCTTCCTAAAGACGGCAAAGTGCTTAAGTTACGGCACCTCTGACTTGGGCATTACAGGAGATAACACAGCCCTTCCCAAGGCCTCGGCCAAGCCCGGCCCGGCCGACCCCACGGCCCCTCGGATCCACCGCCCTCTCCCCTCCCCTTCCAACAAGCTCCTCGCCTCAGAGCCCCGCTGGGTCCTGTCTCCCCTCAAGGCCCGCTTGCGCTACACTTGGTGGGTTGGAGGGCCTCCCTGCTCAGCCCCGGCCAACAGACTCCCCCTCCCATCCCCTGCATTTGTTTTCTGCGGGTCTCCTGTTGGCTGAGACCCCCTGGCCCTTGACTACCCAGGGAGGTGTCTCGGCTTTCCCGAGGTGGGGCACACGGCGGGAGCCCGGATCACCTGCCCCGCCCGCACACCGACGGCACCGCCGCGCCACTCCCCGCGCGTTCTCCGCACCCCCCTTCCCAGGCTGCCTCGCTCGGGTGACGTCAGCCGCCCGGTCCCCGCCGCCGCCGCCGACACCGCCGCGTCCTCCGCGCCTGCCGGGAGCCGGCGTCCCCGCGCCCCTCGCGCCCGGCCCGGCCATGGCTTCGGTGGCGCTGCTGCCTCTGCTTCTGCTCCTGCTGCAGCCTCCGCTTGCCACCCCCGCGCCACCCCTCCGGGACCCCTTCGCCCCGCAGCTCGGGGACACGCAGAGCTGCCAGCAGCGGTGCCGCAGCCGCTATCCTGGTCCGCAGCCCCTGCAGGTGATGCGCTAGCGGCGCCGCGGAGAAGCAGCCCGCTCTCCGGTGCTGGGAGCTAGAGCCAGGCGCTCCATGGACGGGAAAGGGGTCAGAAATGGGGAGGGTCTCTCCAGCAGACCTGGGCCTCTCCCGCTGGGGGACACGGTAGCACACCTCCGACGAGAAGGGATGCGTTCCTCCTGAGAGGGAGGGGCCGAGTTCCTTCCACGGGGCAGGATTTGGACATTCGGGGCCCTCGGATGAAGGCGGGATTGGGGGAGTCCCTTCAAGAGTGGGGTGGGGCGGGGGCTGAGGGTCCTGATGCCCTCCTTGGGCCCAATCCACACGCTGCTGCGCAAGGACTCTCGGGCACCCAACCCCCACCTCAGGCCTGGCAGTCCCCTCCTCCACCTAAGCGGCTTCCACATCCTTCTCCCTACACCCCCAGGGCTCTCAGCCCCATTCACATCATCACTCCCTCCTGGCCACATCCGAATTTTCCCAGGCTTATAGGATAGCAAAACCTCTAAGCCCCCCTCATTTCTCAGGCCCGAGAATCTCCTTTAACTTCCCCACTGGTCTCTAGGGCCTGTGGGCATTTCCCCCCTTTTCTCCTCCTCAGGGCTAACAGCCCCCACCCACTAATATTCTTAGCCTCCATCCACCATCCCAATCTCCCTGGATTTGGAGGAGGGAACCATGTGCTCTGCCTTCTACCTGAGTGCTTCCAAGGGGCTCCTCCCGTCCTACCTCCTCCTGGCTTGAGCCATGACCAACCTCCCCCATGGTTTGAACCCCCTGCCCCCCTTCTCCCCTGGCCTGAGCCCACTGTCCCCTTCTACCGCAGGTGGAGTTTGGGAGCCAGTTGGAGGACACCACAGAGTCCCCACAGAAGAAGTATGACAGGGCCGTCATGATCAGTGCCTGTGAGCGTGGCTGCCGCCTCTTCTCCATCTGCCGCTTTGTAGCCAGGAGCTCCAAGCCCAATGCCACCCAGGCTGAGTGTGAAGCAGGTAAGAGCTGGCTGATGGGCCAGGCCAGTATGGGGGAGGTGGCTAAGAAGGGTCCCCCCAGTCACACCCTCCTGCCCCTGCAGCCTGTGTGGAGGCCTATGTGAAGGAGACCGAGCAGCATGCCTGCAGCGAGGGCTGCTGGAGCCAAAACCCAGAACCTGAGCCTGAGGAGCCCCAGCCTGAGCAGAAGGTGGGAACCCTCCCTTCTGTCGCCCCCGTCTTTGACCACCCGCCCCCCCCCACTTGCCTCCCAACCTGCACTCACATCCTTCAGGTTCTTCATTCTATCCTAGGTCTACTGGGCACCTGGTTTATAGCCATGTCACATCTCAAGCTCAGTGGTGATTTCTGTGACCACCCCCCCACTCCCCACACCTGCCATCTTGCAAAGCGTTAATGGCAGAAAACAGTCACCATTTATCAGTGTTTGTCCTTGTCTAGGCCTGATCTCAGCCAGGTCTCAACCGGTACCTCCAGAGGTACTTGGGACAGGGTCATCCATTTGGTGTGCATTTAGCACCTATCTATATAAGGTCATACAGGTCTGAGCAGGGGTGGCATTTAAAGCCACTGGGCTTGTGAACACCTGCCCCCTAACTCTTCTTCAGTACCACCAGAAGCTGCCTTTATAGAGCACCTACTGCATAACAATTGCTGGTCTAAGCACTTTCATTGTCATAGAATGGGGCAGGTGTCAGAATTGAGATTCAGAGAGGAGTGTCCTCTCATACACGCACACACACTGTTGTCTCCACACCCCCCCCCATAGAGAGAGCAATTGCTCACCTCACATGGTTCATGAGTGGTTTAGGCAATGCTACAACAGGGTAAACCAAGGCACAGAAAATCATCACAGCCATAGACCGATGGGCTGAGATTTCCCAGAAAGCCCTAGGCTGCCTTCACGCATTTCCTCCCCTCTACAAGCTTTCACTGTTCATAGAAGACTGCATGGGCATTCCTCCTACTCCTAGTTCTTTCCTAATGTCAAAATAAGAATAACCATGATGGTGAAATATTTAATAATAGCAGCTATTACATATTAGGCACTTATGGGTGCCATTATCTAGTTAAAATCTCATAGCATCCCCACAACGGAAGAGAATCATCCCAGTTTTAGGAGTCAGAGAGGGCACAGGGCAAGTCAAATGCAGTGCAGAGGTCTGTGTTCGTTCTGTGAAGTCCTGTTGCCTCAAAATCAGATGAGGAATCCATTCAGCAAGGTCTCCCAGCTTGCCTTCCCTTGACTAATGACCTACCTTGGTGACATTTCTGTGCCCTTGGCAGAGAAAGGTCCTAGAAGCTCCAAGTGGGGCTGTCTCGCTCCTGGACTTGTTTTCCACCCTCTGCAATGATCTTGTCAACTCGGCCCAGGGCTTCGTCTCCTCCACCTGGACATACTACCTGCAGACTGACAATGGGAAGGTGGTGGTGTTCCAGGTGAGGGTTATGGCAAGGGTCACCTCAGAGTGGTAAGTCGGTGGTTGGGGTGAGAAGGTGGGATGCCTTGTTTCTTGGCTCATGAGATGCAAAGTCCATGGCTGAGAGAGCTTCAGGTACAGCTGGATTCAGATCTCAGCGTCTCACTCTACTTCTTCTTTTTAAAAAAGATTTATTTATGCATATAAGAGCTGGGGTACAGGCCAGAGGTGTGTGTGTGTGGGGGGGGGTGAGAGGATTCACCAGAGACAGAGTAGGGAGCAGAACAGGCAGATCTACTGAAGTACACTGCTGAGGGGAGCAGCGGGCGAGTCAGGAGAGGTCTGCTGCGCCATGTGGGTAGCTCCCTGGCCGGGCATTGAACTCGTGCTGCAGTGGCTGCGGATAGCTTCATAGGTTGCATCTTAACCCCTTGTGCCACCAGGGAGGCCCCTCGCTTTGCTTCTTGACTGCTTTCCTCTGTGATGGCCTTGTTCCCAAGCAACACTCAGAGCAGGGTAGACACTTAGGCTCTAGATTACAACCTTGCTGGAGTTTTAACTTAGCTGGTATTTTACTCTGGTTGACTTAGTTGGGTCATGTGACCACCTCTCAGACTGGAAGATGGAAACAAGAGAAATTCCCTGCCCATATAGCAGGAAATAACAATCCTCTTGTCACAGCTCACAACCCCACAGGAGGGTGTCCTCCATGCATCCAGTGGCCCAGGTGCCAGCTGGGACAATGGAGCCCACATTGGGCATAGAGATGCCTTCCAGGGCCAAGGTGGTGCCTTTTTTAAGAGCTCTTTGTGCTATCTTTTTCTGACCCAGACCCAGCCTGTGGTGGAGACCCTGGGGCGCGAGGGGGCCCGTCTGCAACGAGTCGAGGTGACCTGGCGTGGATCCCACCCTGAAGCTTTGGAGGTGCACGTTGGTAAGGTCCATGCCCAGACCAGTCTTCTGTCACTGTGGCCCCACCATCACAAGGAGTCCTCCTGGCAAACAACCCTCGAGAACTGAGATTTCCACCTCTCAGGGTTCCATAGACCATCTCCAGGGTTCCATGGTCCAACTCCAGTGTTCTATGAGCCATCTCTCAGGAGTCCCATAGTCTTTCTCCCAGGCTTGATCTCTGTTCTATGACCATGCCCCATTGCATTCCGACCTCCTTTCTCCTCACCATGGTGACTGTGGCCTCTTGTGGAAGGCGGCTGAGAGGTCTTCTGTCAGACCCCGTAGGCCCCTTGGACAAGGTGAGGAAGGCCAAGATCCGAGTAAAGACCAGCAGCAAAGCCAAGGTGGAGTCGGATGAATTGCAGGACAATGACTTCCTCAGTTGCATGTCTCGGTGTGTAGTGGGACCCTGGGGTGGGATGGTGGTGAGGGTGTCCCTGATCTACTAGGATCAGGACGGCTAAGCATGCCTGTGGGGTGGGGCAGGCGTTCTGGGCTTCCTCGCTGGATCCTGGCCTGCTGCCTTTTCCTCTCGGTGCTGGTGATGCTGTGGCTGAGCTGCTCTACTCTGGTGACCGCACCAGGCCAGCACCTCAAGTTCCAGGTGAGTGGGGCCAGCACTTCAAGTTGTGGGTGGGTGGGGTTAGTACCTAAGTGTCTAGGTGGGCAGGACTGGTGAGTGGGGCCAGTTCCTCAAGTTTTGGGTAGTTGGGGGACTGGGCAAGGGGAGCGGGCAGGAGAGCTTCTCCCTGGTTCTGAATGGGCCTGCCCCTTCTCCATGGAGGCAGGGACCCCTGATTTGCTGCACAAGTTTCTTTACTCCCCTATGAAATGGGGGAAAAGACACTCAACTGTAATCAGGGTGACCTGAGGTCAAGGGAAGGAGCCTTGCCAGTATGGACCTCAGTAGCCCCTCTTCTTCCTCCCCCTGCAGCCCCTGACCCTGGAGCAGCACAAGGGTTTCATGGTAGAGCCTGACTGGCCCTTATACCCTCCCCCATCGCACTCCTTTGGGGACAGCCCCCCATCCTACAAGTTGAAACTGGACTTGACCAAGCTGTAGGCCTCCATCTGCTCCCCAGAGTGGCTAAGTGTGTGGTTCCTTGGGTCTTGCTTCCCTGCACCCTGGAGATGAGGCCAGGGTGGGACCTTCCCAGGGCTCCTTCTCACCCCAAACCTTTTCTCCCCAGCCCTGCTCCTCACCCTTTGGTTCTGGGTTAGCCACACTCCTGCTGGGGGCTGGGGAGCGCAATCTGACCTTGGTTTCTCCCCATCCCCTTTTACCCAGAACGTGATACTTTCTGTCTTTGTGGTGTAGCTTCTTGAGTATTTGAACCCCAGTTCTACGCTGCCTTATTCCTCCCACTTCTCTTCCCTCTCTGGGGGGCTGAGGCCACTGGGAAGCCACCTTATCTAAGAGGCTCCGTGTTTCTTCCCACCCCACCTCTGGAGATCCAGCCCTGAGACATGAACCTCACCACATGCTGGAGGGGGGGCAGCTGGGGTTGGAGTTGCAGCATGGGGATCGGGGAGGAATAAACCATGTATATAAAGATACCTTGGACTGGGCCTGCTTTGTTTGTCTGTCTGCTCTTAAGGGTGTTTTCTGAACATGGTTTATGACCTGTGCCCATCACATCCTTTATGAGATAGGGGGAGCTGGGAACTTACTGTGGTTCTAGGGGTGCAAACCAGTTGCCACCTGGAAAGAGCCCCTGTGTTGCCCAGCTCAGATCGCAGTCCTGACTAGGAGTATCCCTGGAAAAATGACTGTGCCACCGGGCCTGGGTCGATCAATACCCCTTCATGGTCCCCAGTATTACTCCTATGAAATGGATAGATGGCATCTTGAAGAGGTCATTTGTTAATTTTTCGACCATCTGGCTTCCATCCTCCTATCTTCTGTGAAGGGGCTCTCACCCATTGGGGGAAGTCTCAGGACACTGTCTGTGGGGCATCTCCCCTTCCCCAGTCACAGAATTCACACTGGGCATCCTTACCCTGTGCTTTGCATTCATGAGGAATCTTGCAGAACAGGAACTTGCCCTGATTGAAGCCACAGCCCTGGTTTTCCAGCCTTCCTGCCCTTTCTGCAAACTCCTCAAGATCCTTCCAGTAAATCTCTTCTTAGCAACAGTTGACTGGAACTGCTCTGTTCCTGACAACCAGAAGCTCCTGGCTGGTGGAGGGCCATCCCCTGAGGACATTTGGGGATGGTGGGGGGCCAGTGGAAATGAGGTTTACAGGGGCTGATGTTTGGGCAATGGGTGGGGGAAGGTGAGTCAGGGAGTTGAGCGGGCCTGGATATGGTCCTTCTGCTGTCTCCCAGTCGTGCCTCCCCGTAGGCTGCGTCCCCCACCCAAGGCAACAAATTCATCAGATGGCCCTTGCATTTCTGTGAACTTCATCCTGGGCGTGGTAACAGCTCGATAGGTATCCATCCTGGCCCCGCACCACTCAACAAAGACTTGGGTTTGTCATTACCCAAACCTGTCTGCATCTCTGCAAATGGCCCCTTAATTAGGGCCTCCCTGGTGGTGCAAGGAGTTAGGTCTCAGCTCTATGAAGCAGTCCACGGCCACTGCAGCACGAGTACAGTCCCCGACCAGGGAGCTAACCCATATGGTGCAGCAGACCTCTCCTGTCTCATCTGCTGCTCCCCTCAGCAGTGTGTTTCAGTAGATCTGCCTGCTCTGTTCCCCGCTCTGTCTCTGGTGAATCCTCTCACCCCAGCTCTTGTTTGCATAAATAAATATTTAAAAAAAAAAAAAGGCCCCTTAATTACAACTCTCTGGACTTGCCCTGAATGGCCTCTCTCGCTGCCAGCAACCTTTCCTTGAGTTTGTGAGTACCAAGATTCAACATACAGGCAGCATGGGCCCCCAGGAGCCATTCTGGATCGCCACGGGGTTCAGGGCAACCCCTGGAAAAGTCACCAGGAAATGAGGCCTGGGCAGAGGTGGAAACTACACAGGCTGGTGCTGCCCAGCAGAAGTCTGCAATGGTGGGGGAACACTGTGCCACTCCTGTCTTGCAGTGCTTGGAGCCTTTGCCATGTGGTTGGTGCTACCAAAGAACTACCAAAAAGAATCTTGTTTTATTTTGTTCGAGTTGGTGTGCATTTAGGTTTTTCCTCTTTTTTTAATTATAGTAAAATACATATATATCACATAATTTGCTATTTTCACCAGTTTTGAGCGTGCAACTCAGTGGCATTAACAACATTCACAGTGTTGTGCAACTATCACCACTATCAACTTAAATGGCTGCCATGACTGCTCAGCCCAGCTCACAGGGGTCCCTGGGGCCCCTTCCCTTGACCCTGACCTTCCCCAGCCCTAGCCTGTCCTCTCTCTACTTTGTCTATCAGTACAGTCTGTCCCTCTACCTCCAACCCATGCACTTCTCTGTCTCCATGGCAACCATCAAGGTCCAAGCTGCCACCACCTCTCACCCTATAACTGTGTCCAAGAACAATGCCCATCTCCTCTCAGTGTTCCTTGTGTTTCCTTCAACCACCTGTTAGCTTCATGCCGGGATTAGGAGGGTGTCAGAATAAAGCATTTTTGTTTTTTTATTCAAAAGAATAGGTTTATTAAAAAGGGAGAGAAGAGTAAAGGACACTTGCACAGACATAAGTGGGCAGAAAGAGCCGATCTTGATCTTAATGACTCTAGAAGGAACTGGTTTGCTAAAAGAGAGACCTGCATAGTCACAGGCATGCAGGTTTAGGAGGAGAGCTGCCTCTGCTGCTTTGCAAAGGGAGGATGTTGGTGAAGAGAAGCACCTGCATAGTCACAGGCAGGCAGCAGAACTGTGGCAGAATAAAGCTTTCTTTTCTTTTCTTTTCTTTCTTTCTTGCTTTTTTTTTTTTGTGTAGAAGAACTGGGTGTAGACCAGAGGTGTGTGTGTGTGGGGGGTGGTGAGAATGTTCACCTGTGACAGAGTGGGGAGCAGAACTGGTGGATTTACTGAAACACACTGCTGAGGGGAGCAGCAGACGAAACAGGAGAGGTCTGTTGTGCCATGTAGGTCAGCTCCCTGGCCAGGGATTGACCTCAGGCTGCAGCGGTGATAGCACTGAGACTGGAGCCTAAACACCCACATGCACCAACAAAGCTCCTCACCACACCTCCAACCACTTCTACAGAGGCTCTGCCTGTAGCTCACTATGTGCAAGTCACATAGGTTTTCTCTGGACTCCTCAAGCTCATCTGGTCCTTCGAGTCCCAGGGCCTTTGACTTGCATTGCCTTCTGCCTGAAACACACTGGGGGCCTGCTTTGCCTAGGTTCTTATCTCAAAGGCCACTCGTGAAAATCTCCCAGCTTCCCCAGACTGGCTGGCATCCCCTGGCATCCACGTACAGCTCCCTGTCCATTTTCCCTGACCTTACCACTTTTAGTTGATTAATAATTACTTGTTTTAATATTGGCATCACATAATTTTGTAAGCTCCATGAAGGCAGCTCCCCAGGGCCTCATATGTGACGTAGGGAGTAGTTATCAGTAATTATTTTTGCTTGGATGTCTCTCTATTTCCTTCTCAGATCCCAGAAGCAGTCTCACTCTGTCATGGGGTCAGATGATGTTTCTCCTCTGCTGGCCCCCATGACTCCCTGTTGCTCTCTGACACCACCTAAATTCCCCTGCTTACCTCATAAAGGTTTTCAATCCTCACTCCATGGCAAACACCTCTTCAGTATACCCCTCCCACCTTTTGGTCTCCAGATTAAAAGGGTTCCATCCTCACTGTACCCTGTGGTGATATCAATGGTCCATCCTCGGCCCAGGCCTTTGCTACAGGCTCCTTTTGGTCAGAATGCTATCATGCACTTAGTAGAATCTGATGGCTAACTGGCATCCTCCTCTTCCTAACAGAACTCTGTTTGGTCTAATATAACTTATGTTGTTCAGGGGAAGTTGAGCAGCAAGACTCACACCCCTTCAGGTATTGGTGGGATTTACTGGGAGAGACATGCCCTGTTACCTTGGGTCTGCTGAGCAGGGAAAATGTCAGTCAGAAACTGTCAAGGACCATTTGTCACCACAATGACAGAGCCAGCCAGAGGGATTGAGAGAAGCTGTATCTTTTTGCCATTACTGAATGTCCTGGATCAAGCTATTCCTGAAGCTCCAGACCTGCCCATTGATTTTGCTTGTTTTTGGCGTCATTGAAATAAAAAGTTGTGACTGCTCCCTGTCTCTATCCTTCCTCCTCTTTCTACAAACTTAGCCCTGAGGACAGAGTGTTTTGCTTGCTTTGCTGTTGGTATAGCCTAGTGCTTAATTCTTTATTTTTAAAAAATTTATTTAATGCATAATTCTTTTTTTTTTTGATAAAGAGGCATGTGTTTTTATTTATTTATTCGTTTGTTTTGTTTATACATGCACTGGGTACAGTCAGAAGTGCAGGAGGGTGAGAGAATTCACCAGAGCCAGAGCGGGGAGCAGAGCAGGTAGAAGGACCGAAGTACACTGCTGAGGGGAGCAGCGGGCGGCAGGAGAGGTCTGCGCACCATGTGGGACCCTCCTGTGGCCGGGGAGCAGCCGGGGATCGAACCGGCGCCTCAGAGGCTGCGGGCAGCTTCGCAACCCAGTGCTCAACCGCTGCGCCACCGGGGAGGCCCTAATGCATAATTCTTAAGGCAGGGGTTGGACCCAGAGTGGATACCTCTGCCTCATAGACATGCAATGAATAACACCAGGTGGTGTGGGTAGAAACTGTGAGTTCTCTGTGTATGCAGAGGTGGGAGAGGACTCCCATCCTGGCGGGTGGTGAATGATGGCTGCCTGGAAGGGTTGGCAGCCATTTGGGTTTTGAGGGATGAATAGAATCTGGGGAGAAGAAAGGGTATCCTAGGTGTGTGTGTGTGTGTGTGTGTGTGTGTGTGTGTTAGAGGTTTGGTCTCCTCTGTCCCTTCTGAATCCTCAGGAGAAAAAGGGCCCTCTGCCTTTGTCTGGGGCAAATTCTACGTGTAGAGGCCAACAGGGTTGACATTATGGATGAAACTTGGACTTACCACAGTCTCTATCTGAGACTCAGTTTCCTCTTTGTTTCACTCTCTCACCCCCAACTTTCAAGGCATCTGAGCAGCCACCCCCTCTGTCCCTTTCTCCTTCCTCCTTGGTGTCTGATACAGACCTGGTGGAGGGTAGGTGGGTGTGTGGTGTCATGGCAACAGGCAGCAGTGCCCATGTGTCCGAGTATTACAAGGTTGCCATCGCAACCAGTGGTGCTGGTTCCCTGGCAACAGGCCTGAGTTCTGGACCCAGGGTCAGTTATCTGCTGGGGAAAAGAGGGAGGGAGGTGACCCTGGCTGCCCTCTATAAATACTAGGAAGATAGAATAGGGACTCGTGTTCTTACCATCTGGTGGGGTGGACATTCAGGCCAGGCCCCAACTGGGGCTTCCCAGGTCCCCATTCAGGGGCAAGCATGAGCACAACTAGGGAGCTGAGGCCTCCAGGGGTCTTGTATCACATGATGCTGTTCATTGTCCCTTCACACCCAGTCCCACCTTGCTAATGCAGCTCCTCAAGGTCTCCCC